GGGAGGGGAAAAGGGAGGGGAAGGGGAGGGGAAAAGGGAGGGGGGGAGGGGAAGGGGAAAAGGGAGGGGAAGGGGAGGGGAAGGGGAGGGGAAAGAGAGTGGGGGGGAGGTGTTGCTGCTTAGGGTTAAGGGAATAGGATTGTGCTACTGCTGGTTGCTGCCACTGCCACCGCCACTGCCACTGCCACCGCTACTGCCACTGCCACCGCTACTGCCATTGCTATTGCCGCTGTGTGGTGCAGGTGGAGAGCGGGGAGATACTGGAGTGCGCCCCGGTGGACCGGGTGACTCTGGGGGGTCTGGGGGGGGCGCCCGGTCAACCTGCATGTGTGTTTCCTTTTCCGTACAGGGGCCGTAACCGTACGGACTGCGTGTGGCTGGATGGAGTGGAGGCGTGCAAGGTGAGGAAGGGGGTGAAAACGGGGGCCCGCGGGGCGGGCCTTATCTCACATCTCTCACATCTCTCACATCTCTCCTATATCTCCCATATGTCATATCTCGCATGTCTCGCATATCTCACACCTTGTTGCACACCTTGAGTCGCTGGTCCACCCTTCCTCGGTCGCGTGCCCGATATCTCTCAACGTATTAGCATGTATGTGAGACACATACAGTACGACATACACGTACGGCTCTCCCTCTCTGACCTGCCGTACATGCAGGTCGCTGACGGCAGCTGGGGCGAGTGCAGTCCCCAGTTCGTCACCAGGTTCCCCGAGCCCCCGCCCAATGTGACCGTTACCGCCCGCCACACGGTCAGCGGTCAACCCTGTGCGCTGCCGTTCTTCTATCAGGGTGAGTCTGTACGGATGCATGTACGGATGTACGCATGCAGTACATGTAAATAATACAACAATTTAATATAATAATAATTTTTAAACAATTTTATATAATAATAATATTGGAGATATACCGTGATATTATGTATGGAGTATGGAGTATGGAGTATGGAGTATGGAGTATGGAGTATGGAGTATGGAGTATGGAGTATGGAGTATGGAGTATGGAGTATGGAGTATGGAGTATGGAGTATGGAGTATGGAGTATGGAGTATGGAGTATGGAGTATGGAGTATGGAGTATGGAGTATGGAGTATGGAGTATGGAGTATGGAGTATGGAGTATGGAGTATGGAGTATGGAGTATGGAGTAT